ACACCGAGTCCCAGTGACACCAGTTATGTGTTTGACCAACAATTATTCAGGTTATGGGATTCAATCGAAAAAAGAATGCCTGGGACATCAGAAAGCATACATTTGAGGATGTATCAGTTATGAAAGGAAGGGTATGCTTTTCTTTAGTTGAATTAATTTTAATTAATTTTCCACTTATGTTTCTGCATAATTTTTTGTCCAGTAGTCTATTGAATGGTCAAAATTGTATTCTGACACATTCTTGCTAATAACACCCATCTTTGAATTGTAATATTTTAGAGACAATGTAGCAAATGTATGGGGTTACATGACTTCCTCTTGGCTCTGACATAATAATCTGATTGTCTATAGATTTTTCACATATTTTTAAGTTTGGTGCTAGAACATTTCAATATAATTTTTAGGTTTTATACCTTGTGAAATATCTGCCTTGAGAAAATCATGTCGATGAGTCCACTCTTGCATAGAGTTGTTGGAATAAAGTCTAAAATATGGTAGCTCTTTATGCTGAGCGATCAACAGGAGCTTTCCGCTTTGGCTTTTTCTCCGGTGTAAAACTGAATCTTGTAGGAACAGATCCACTTTTCAGATACCGTTTTCCTCCCACACAACGCTTAAAACAATCTTCAGGAAAGTGCTGACTGCAGAGGTAAGAATGTTTCGACACAGGAGGGTCTTTTCTCTTCATTCTAAGCAGCCAGGTTCGAAGAAGCTTAGCATTGTTTATAGGTAAAGAATGTCACGACAATTTTGAACATTCTGGCTTATTACTTCTGTTAACACATCCATAAGCGATGCAGTGCCTCACCATGATTTTCACAACAGAATTAGGCCGGATGAACAACCAGCTCTGCAATCACAAACGAAGAAAACACTCCACAGGTCAAATTGTCACACGAATGTTAGTTGAGGTGAATCCATTTGACCCCAAAGCCTCGCTTTCGCTCTCAATTGGCCACCATGACGATTACAAAAGCTGACGTTTCGAGCGTTAGCCCAATCAGAAGTCGGATCGATTCCACGTGATTACTCAGTCAGTGGACTCCATATGTAATTATAAAGCTCTTCCCCCAGACTACGGACTTGTAGTCACGCTTCGGTTCCTCTAGACGAAAAACGACGTTTCTATGCAGGCAATCCTTATCAAGGTAAACTCACCCATGCACTTACTCGAAACACTCTAAACTTTCAGCTTGATTCCTATATCAACTGGGGGGGAATTTGTCTCTTAAAAGCTGTATTGTTAATCCCCGTGGCTAAATGCTAGTGCCTTCGTTCGGTCATGATGAAGACATGTTCGTTATCGGCTCTCATACTAATATCTCTATATTCACCAGATCTTTTTATGTTGAATCGCTTATTCGTTACAATTTTTCCGGATTTGGCTGGACTCGCTTGACTGCTAGCCAGTTACGATTATGTGTTTTCAATACCAAAACATTTCAACTCGTGACTTAGGTTTCGGCAAGCACATTTGAAGACATTTTCGAATCATTTTCGAATTGGTGCACATAGTTCTACTTGCTATCTCTTTATTCAGCAGTTTGTGATGTTATCTGCCTCATTCGTTTCCATTTTGTCGAATTTGGTTAGATTTTCTTGGCCACCAGCTCTGACAGAGCCGAATCGATTGAACCATTGGCCTGCTTTTGTCAGCGCTTTCTGTAAGGTTGTAAGACGTTAGTACTTTCGATTTATATCGTCAACGTTTAATAATGAGATTTTAACAGGCCAAAGCTTGGGTTGGTCGGAAAGATGAGCGCGGATGCCTGTAATGATGAAAAATTTGTTTAACCTCAAATTCCTATTGATGGAACCTTTTGGTCTCCGATCGACAAGTAGTACAGTTACAGTTTCATTGTAAATTATAATTCCTGTGAGATGAAAACTAAAATGGTATTTGTGCGAATACATCAGTGTTCTCCATTGCTGTCAATTGAATTGTCCTCAACTTTTTGTCTGAGAAATCAGCAGGAAATAACCAGGAATCCTGACATTGAGTGCAATCAAGCACTTTGCTGTATTTTTTCACCATTTATGACAAAAAGAACCGTGATGTCTCTCTCGCGAAAAAAAACAAACAATGCACAGTACTGATAAAAGACCATTAACCTGGGCTAGGTAAAAATTAATTGCCACAATAATTGTCAAGGCAATTTCAGTTTAATGAACAGAATAAAGCAGTCTCATTGCAATTTTTTAGTTACCCAGGTAATCACACTTGTTAATTATTAAAAAATAACTGCATTAATTCGTAGTGCAGGTGCAGCCAATATGAACAAAATTTTAACCCTTTGTGCAGAAATCACCAAGGTTGATTGTGAGATGTCATGATGCCACAGTCTTGTCCACTGAAAATTATGCACAGTCACAAGTTTATCAACAATTGAAAGCAATTGTACATTTCCCATTATCGTTTCTTTCTAACCTCAATATAAAATAAGAAAACTGAGAACAGAGTAAAATGAAACAGTAAGTGTGAAAATAAAGGAAATTTGCAACATGTCAGAAAACTGGGATCAAAGCTCTTCCATATAATGAAAGATGAAAAACATATAGGCATTAGACAACTTGAATGAAGGGGTTTCCCTTTCCTGAGCAATTACTTTTTTGGGCTTACTGGTAAAACAGTGAGAGTAACCTCTGGGCTTACTCATATATCACCAAGAGTTAGTTCACACCAACTTTCACAGTTTAAAGAAAATGGTCAGTTGCTGCCTTGGGAATAATGGGGGATATACGGATTTTTACACTTTGAACAGTTAAAAATAGGAAGCTGCTGTTTTTTTTTTTTTTGAAGTATTAATTGTGCAATAACTCGTTTGTTTTCCTGTCTGCTCAAAACTCAACTGAAATGTGTCAAAACTTGACACAAGCCGTGATCAGTTAAGTTTTTAAGATGATATGATGGCTGTAATATGTTTTTTAAAAGTAAGATTTAGGGCTTGAATGACACAGAATTGGCCATCACCAGGTCTCTTCCCAAGTGGGACAATTTAAATGCAGGGAGTCTACTATGAGTTTTGGGACTACAAGGGCCATTAGTTTCATCCTATTTGGATTGATTAATAGGCATTTATTCAGACACTAGTTGCATAAATGGGAGAAGGAAATGCTATTCATTTTGTTCAAAGTGGTAATTAAGTCTTGTTTGGGAATTGAGAGGAGGTGTCTTCAGTATGTCACACAGTATGTCTTCAGTATGTCACACAGTGCCATAGTCACTTTTCTTTTCACCCAAAGAAAAAAGCAGCTTGCAAAAATAGTATTAATGATCTGTGGTACACAAGATGTTCTCACGAGCCCTGTTTTGGCTGTGCAATTTGATACCACTTTTTACTAAGAAAATTGTCAAATTCAGAGAGCTATAAACTCTTCAGTTTTTATTATTTGCAGATGAAATTTTTTCTTCTAGCTTTTTAAGACTTGAAGGTTTTATTTAAGTTAAAATACCATTGGTGTCATAGACACTTTAAATGAAATTATTCCAACAATGCATGGCTTCTTGGTACAATGGATGTCCGTGAAGGAACACAATTACGCTTGCCAGCAGGACTATCAATGATATTTATTCTCACAGGATTTACAGATGTAAAAAGGCATCAAATTGATATGCTACAGCTTTTTTGTTCTTGCTATAGGACCTTTTTTTCCATGGCTTAAAACAATGCCTCATGTGTTTATCATATTTAAACAATGCAAACATACTGGCAGATATTTTAGGCATTAATAATTTTAAGTATTTCTCTATAGGAGACCTGTTTTCATGGCTGTTTGTACCCTACATGTATGGTATCCTACCAAAGAAGAATGTAATTATGCCCGGCTGTGTCGCCTTCTTGTTGATATTGGATCACATGTGCTAAGGGATATCTTTGACAGGATATGTCCACCAGGAAACCTTCACACAGTTTTGACAGACCCCAAAATTCATGCAAAATTACAAACACTGCAAAAGAATAGAGTCCTGAGTACCTCCCAGTGGTGCAGATTGTATCCAGTTATCAAATCTTCAGTTTCCTCTAGGGACTTTGACACCTCACTACTGTTACTTCTTCTGAAGAATATTGGTGGTCTGACCCTCCCTACCTCTAGTTGGGTTGACCTTCCTTTGGAATCAGACACCACTCCAACAGCCAACATCATTCGTCTTAAGATCCTGAGAGACAGAGTTTATAGTCATGCTTCTGATGCTTCAGTCGATGATGTAACTTTCAGTTCTTACTGGTATGACATCAAAGACACCTTTCTGCGTATTGGTGGGGCCTGGTATGAGGATGCTATCAATGATATTAAAATTGATTGTATGGATGCACATCTTGTGGAACACTACCAAGACCTTTTTAGAGAGTGGTTGAAGGATGATGACTACATCACAAACAAATCACATAAAGATGAAACAGTTAAAAAAGCCAGGAAGCAAGAGGACAAGGATGTTTCCATTGACATTTCTGAGCTAAGATCAGGAGTGAAAGGTGTGTGTAATTTTTTTGTCGATACTGAGTTTTGAACTTACTTTGTAGTGTCAACAGTGTTTTTAGTAAAGGTATTTAACACATTGACTCCTGAACCGCCCGTAACTGCCCGAACCTCGNGTTTTTCAACTTCTTTTAAAGCTGTGACCTTATTGCATTACAAATTGTTTTATGGCCTGGATACAGTAATCTCTGCGAGTTGTGTTTTGACATTTTGCATGTAGCTCTCAAGGGCAATAGAGGGCTTAACTGATGGCATCCTGTTTGATATGAATTGGATTTGGTTCTTTTTTTCTGTCCGGGAAAGGTGTATTAAAGGGGCATTCATCTTAGGAACAGATCTCGCAAGAGTTGGCCTGATTTTGATGGATGCATTTGATTTCTCTTTCTTGTCACTGGTAGCATGCTGACTTGGCTGACAGAAATTTGATGTTATGCAACCACAAAAGCCAGATAGATAGTCTGTACCTGTCTGTCTTTGCCTTTATTCTCAGAATGTTTTGTGAAATCTTGAAAATTAATGCTTAAAAATATGCTGAAGTAGTTTGATGATCAAACAACTCAACAAGCACAGTCAGATTGAGGGATGGCCAAATCTTACAGCGAGTTCAGGTCATATATTAATTTAGTGTTGACCTGAAGGATTTAATTCAGAGGCTGTCACACCACACATGCTGTGCTTAACCATGATTTTGTGCCTCTGAAAAGTATGCATGAAACTGTGAGCTGACATACAACAGTTTTGAGGTTCAAATTAAAAATAAATAAATAGTTATATATGATTTAATTAAAAGAAGCGCAGGTAATCATTGTTGGAGCCCAGAAGATAGGGGAACTGCAAGGCTTTCAAGCTAGCCCTTTGAATTATGATTACTATTATCAATATGGGCCAGGTTGTTCAAAGGTGGTTTAAGATAACCCAGGGTAAGGGTGAAATTTGATTTCAGATCTGAAAGCTGTCAAAGAAGATTCAATTTAATTCAGTGCTAATCAGCCTTTGAATAACTGGGCCATGATTATTTGTTATCATTTAATTACTGATTGAATGTCAATTAGTCATGATGTTCTTGAATCATCTTTCTCCTGTGTAACAGGACACTCCTTAGAAATACCATATTTCCTCATGTATAAGTCAACCTTTTATGACCAAAAAATCAGCCCCAAAGATCACCCTCAAACTTTACAATGGGTCATATACAAAGACCTGACCTAAGCAGTCCAAGAAATTAGCATAATGATTGCCTGAAGTGCATTAGGAAAACTGAGTTTACAAAACCAGTTCTAATTGTGTTCAAGTTTTGTCAGTTTGCAGCGTGTTCTTCATTGACAAAAAAGTTTTAAATTATAATTTTATGTGGCTTAACTAGAAACCTACTGGAGCTGATTTCTGTCTTCTTATCTGTAGGGCACAGATTTTTCCTTACAGCTTTGCTGCTGTTTACTGTGCTGAACACTTGTTTTCATCAAATGATTCCAGTAGCTTAGTGACCAGGCAAATGGTGACAAGTTTTCTAAAATGGCAGTGTTTTCATCAAGCGATCCTTCAAAGCTCTTCGGTTCTCCTTCAGTCTACTAAATCTCCTTTCAAACTCAACATTAAGATAAAGTTTATTTAAATACACGAAGAATTCATTTTCAAAGGGATTTACAAAATATGGTAAATTACTTCTCCAGTAACTTGAAGGGCTCGTATATGCTTAAATTGTGAATCGTAGTGATGTAAGCAATTGCTACAAAACTTCACAGCACACAGTTACATTTAGCTCTACATTTTTTTTTTGTTTAACTTACTGTGTTTTCAATACTTTCTCAGAAATGAGAGATCAACCATTTGGAAAAATTCTACTGGTCTGAATTTTTCTTTAACTAGAAATGATGAAATATTGGATTTTTGACCTTGAAAATGTGGGGTCAACTTATACACAGGTTCGACTCATACACGGGTAAATACGGTATGTGTGAGGTGTGAATGCAAATATTTTGCAACTTCAACCTTCTAGCTTCATCATACACCTTGTTCAGTGCTATAAAAATTGTGGTATGTCATTAGCCACATGCAGTCTCAGACCACCCAATCTTTATTTACACCTGATTAGTATCAGATTGTTACAGACTAATTGTTAATTCACTGTCAGATATGAATGATAGAAAATATATACCACATTCTTCTTCTCAAGAACTATTAGTGAAACACAGACCAATGAACAATGCCAACGCCAATCCACCAGAACTCAGTGTGAAATTTCCAAATTTGAGTGATCTTCCAAAAGTCTCTTCTCCTTGGTGCAATGTTGAACTCCCTGTTGATATTCTTTTGTTAACAATGGAGGACTGTGAGTTCTTAAGCTGCTTTGCCTACTTGAAGGAATCCTTTAAGAGTTACCACATCAGTATTGGCCATGTGTACTTTGGGTGCATGGGTGATGGTCAAGGAAAGAAAATGAAAATTGCTTTAACAAGGTGCTGCAAAGGTTCTGATGTTCCTGGGGGCTCTTTATCTGCTGCAAAAGATGCCATCTTTCTACTGAGACCCAAGGTTACTTTTTCTGTGGGTGCCTGCAGTAGTTTGAAGAACAGACAGGTCAAGCTGGGAGATGTAGTTGTTTCGTCAAAGCTAATAACAGGTACACACAAGACTCCCCCAAGCAGAAATATTGGTAACCTAATCAAAGATAGGGCCAATGGGTGGAAGGCACCTTTACAAAATGGTGATGAATATAATGCCAAAGTGCACTTTGATGGAGTGGTTCTGAGTATCTCAGAGGCAAACAAGGACATAATTGGCCAACATCCTGAAGCAATAGCAGTTGAAATGGAAGGTGGAGGTGAGAATCATGGTAATTAGAATAATAAATGAGTCAAGAATATTTGTACATGTAACATGTGTTTTCGAAAAAACTGCTCAGGAATTGTCTCTGTTAGTCCAAGAAATACCTATCATACAGACTGATGACTTTGCAAGGATTATATATCTTGTGTAGTTATAGTCTCTGTTAGCTATAATTGGCAAAAGTTTGTCTTTTGAGAAATGTAGAAAGTTACTATTAAACAAGTTGAGAGCTGAAAATTTATTTTATTGTGTTAGTTTACAACTTTATTTTTTTTAATTACTGGTTGAAATAATAGTCCTAGATACTAACCAAAATCTTTTTGAGATGTGCATGTTAATTTACAGCTGGAGTGTGAATTGTTGTGAACTTTAAGTGAACAATTAATTTAGGATGCAAAGAAAATAAGCCTATATAGTTAACAGACCTGAAGGTTTTTTTTCAGGAGAGTTTGCAGCAGCCCTTAAGACAAAGTGGGTGTTTGTCAAAGGCATCAAGGACTTTGCAAATGACGGGCAGTCTTCAAGTGAGAAATGGAAGCAAATTGCTTGCATGATGGCAGCATCTGTTGTGGCCAACATTTTGAGTGATCCAGTCATATTCCAAGGTTGGCTTCAGTTTAATGCAGGTATAACTTTCTGTGTGAATGTTCTCCCTTAACAGAGATAGGTCTGATTTAGATCAAAGCTTGTGAGATTTGCGATCATTTCCTTTATTCTCATGATCTTAATAAATGATTCAGTAGTATTGCTGTCAGGAGAAGTGAGATGCTGGTCACTCTTAGGATTTTTTAAATGGTTACCATAATTTCTGGCTGATTACCCACACAGCAGATTACCCACACCAGCCAATTGTTGCATACGGCGAAAAAAAAAAGTTAACAGATTACCCGCACCGGTGGATAAGCCACACCTTGTGTTCAGTGCCATGTTGACTTTTTGAACGAAAGTTCAAAGGCCAAAGAAATTCAGACGCGTGTACAATTCTATGTCTATATTAGCATGTATTTTATTGTTAAAATGATACGGTAAAAACCATTATGCAACACATCAAATTGCTTTAACCCTTTACTCCCAAGATCTCATTAGAAATTCTCCCTACTATATGTTCTACAACTTCTATCAGCATATAATCCCCTAATTGATATTTTTCTTTATTTTCATGACGTCTTGGCAACTTGTCATGTTACCAAGTTCACATCTGGATGATTTTTGATTGATCCTCATGTAATTAAAAAATTCAATTTGTCTGATGTGATAATCTGTTTCAAGTAAGACATTCATACCGATATTCTTCGTTCCATGTATACTATTAATGAGTAACAACATGATCTATTGAATGTGTAACTTCTAAGAATGACCACTTGGAAATCATTCAGAATACAAATTGCATGCATCTGCAGGGTAAATGCGGTATTTATAAGGCTGAAATAATTTAGCAGTCAGTGTCCTTATTTATAATTTATACTTAATTACACAAAAAATCATTTGTTTACTCATTTATGAGATAGATACCTAAAAAAATTATGTAATCACCTACACATATAGAAACTTCGGGGAAAATTGCTCCAAACTCAAAGTTTTCCTTGAGCTTCACTCTGAGAAAACTGTGATCCTGCATGGGGAACAGGTAATGTCAGTGGATAATTATCCCTGCATATTTTATTGCCAAATGAAGGCTATTGTCTTTAAAGTCCTCATGTAGATACATGTAGTCCCTTCTATACTATTCCGCCATGATACTCCATACCTTTGATTTCCATTTATAGTCCCTTCGTAAATAGTCTCTCCTGTATTCTATCCTGTTA